GGGTCTGCAGCTGTGTCTCCTCTGGCAAATATCTCCCCCTGCCTCAGTTTCCCTGCTCTCCTAGCAGTGCGTGCAGGCAGCGAGGCTTGTTTACCCCAGGTTTGTGTAGGGCACAGTCACCGGGTCACATGTGAGGTGCTGAGCAAGGGGTCCGGAGGGTTTCCTGGGGGACTGGGACCTTATCAGGGCCATGGGCCACAGTTTGGGGAGCGTTTTCCAGTCTCAGCCCGCAGACGGGTGATCTGGGGCTGGGTAGGACTTTGTTAGCCTCCGCTGGGCTCGCCGCTGACTCCGCATCTCTCTCCCTTCCAGGCGCATGGGAGAATGGTAGTGAGCCCATAAGACCATGCTCTACACAATGACATGTTGGCTCCCGGTCCTGGTCCTCCACCTGGTCCTCCTGAGCCCCCCGCGGGTGGCAGCCTGCCCTGCCCGCTGCGAGTGCGCCCCGCAGATCAAGTCGGTGGTGTGTCACCGCAAGCGGCTCACCTCCATCCCCGAGGGCATCCCCACCGAGACCAAGATCCTGGAGCTCAATAAGAACCGCATCCGCTGCCTGAACCCCGGGGACCTCTCCCCATACCCGCTGCTGGAGGAGCTGGATTTCAGTGAGAACATCATCTCCAATGTGGAGCCGGGCGCCTTCAGCAACCTGTTCAACCTGCAGACCTTGCGGCTGCGGGGGAACCAGCTCAAGCTCATCCCCCCGGGGGTCTTCACCAAGCTGACCAACCTCACCCTCCTGGACATCAGCGAGAACAAACTCGTCATCCTGCTGGACTACATGTTCCAGGACCTGCGAAACCTGAAGAGCCTGGAGGTGGGCGATAACGACTTGGTGTACATCTCCCAGCGGGCCTTCTCGGGGCTGCTCGGCCTGGAGCAGCTGACCATCGAGAAGTGCAACCTGACCTCCATCTCGGCTGAGTCGCTCTCCTACCTCCAGAACCTGGAGGTGCTGCGGCTCCGGCACCTCAGCATCTCCGCGCTGGAGGACCAAAACTTCAAGAAGCTCTACAACCTCCTGCAGCTGGAGATCGACAACTGGCCGCTGTTGGAAGACGTCTCCCCCACCAGCTTCCAGGGCCTGAACCTCACCTCACTCTCCATCACCTACACCAACATCACAGCCGTGCCCGCCGCTGCCTTGAGGAACCTGGTGTACCTCCGGTACCTGAACCTGTCCTACAACCCCATTAGCACTGTGCTGAAGGGCTCCTTTAAAGACCTCATTCGGCTCCAGGAGCTCCACATCGTGGGCGCTCTCTTGGTGTCCGTGGAGCCGCAGGCCTTCTCCGGCCTGAGACAAATCCGGCTGCTCAACCTCTCCAGCAACTTTCTCTCCACGCTGGAGGAGAGCACCTTCCACTCCGTCAACACGCTGGAGACGCTGCGGGTGGACAGGAACCCCCTGGCCTGCGACTGCCGCCTCCTCTGGATCCTGCAGCGACGGAAGACGCTCAACTTCGACGGGCAGCAGCCCATGTGCTCCTCGCCGCCCGAAATCCAGGGCAACGCCCTGCGTGACTTCCCGGACTCTGTGCTCTTCGAGTACTTCACCTGCCAGAAGCCCAAGATAAGGGATCGGAAGCTGCAGCATGTGACGGCCCGGGAAGGGCAGTCCGTGTCCTTCCTTTGCCGGGCGGATGGGGAGCCGGACCCCTCCATTGCCTGGGTGTCCCCCCAGCACCGCATGATCACCACCCGCAGCACGGGGCGGGCGACCGTGCTGCCCGGGGCCACGCTGGAGATGCGCGGGCGGATGGGGAGCCGGACCCCTCCATTGCCTGGGTGTCCCCCCAGCACCGCATGATCACCACCCGCAGCACGGGGCGGGCGACCGTGCTGCCCGGGGGCACCCTGGAGATCCGCTTCGCCCAGGTGCAGGACAGCGGCACCTACATCTGCATCGCCAGCAACGCGGGAGGCAACGACACCTACTTCGCCACCCTGACGGTCAAGGGGCGGCCAGCCGACGGCTCCCACTACGCGCACCGAACTTTGTACCTCAGCGAGTTCATCCACCCCACCC